GACAAATAACAGGCAAATAACAGGACTTCCCCAAGATATGTGTTTGACTGTTTTTCCATGCACAATATATGTGCACTATATGCATGCCTGGTGCCCACAGACGTCAGAAGTAGGGATTGGATCCCCTGGAAATGGAGTTTTGGATGGTTATAAGCTCGCTATGTGGGTGTTGGGAACCAAACCCAGGTCCTTTGCAAGAGCAACAAGCACTCTTAACTCCTAAGCTGACTTTTCAACCTCTAAATCACATTTTAATTGCTTTGGAACTAAGTCATATTATGAGTATGTCTGTTAAATGTTTTGACAGTAGTGGAATTGAAGTATTATTTGTTTAAGATCCTCTTGACTCATTTATTTGATCAAGAACTTTTTGTCTAATTTAAAAGCAACCACAAGTGGTTGTATTACAGTCCTTTTATATACTTTCAATATCTATGACTAAAATAGTTTCAGATATTTGTGAAAATAATGTTGCTGAACTTCAGGAAAGTGATGATAAAACATCTTGTCATATGCCACACTGCTTCTATATCATATAAGACAGTGTTTTGTTTTTCTAGGCTATTAAGGGTCATGGTTATGGGAAGACAGTTGTTTAGTATTAGGAGGGAAAGCAAATATTTTGGGATACTACCTCCTGAATAGAAGTTTCTGTCAGAATTGCGTGATGACTTGATTCATGGTAGCAGAATAATATAAATAAGGCCAGCTATGCAACAGGTGAAAAAGGGGGTGCTTAGGTGATGATGTGAACAAAGTGTTTCTCAACCTCCCTAATGCTGCAACCCATTTATACAGTTACTCATGTTGTGGTGACCCCCCCCAGCCAACACTGAGCCCCTGATATGACACCATTCCCTGAGGTGACCAGTCAGTATACCAGCCTCATTTCTTCTGCCTGCTGTGTGCCATGTATTATTTATGCCATTTACCTTGTAGTCATATCCTATTCTTGATTGTTATCATTCTCTAATTCAAGCATCTCCATTTATGTTGGCTACAGCATTACAACCCCTTTCAGGAACAACCTTGAAAGACACTGCGAAGGGAAATTGTCACAGCGGACAGAAGTTTGGACAGTGTACATGGTCGTACGTTTTGTTTGGAAGGAGAAATGTCCAGATGTGCAATTCACAGATTGATGGTCTGTAGCCAGTGGATTAATGGATTGTCAGGCACTTGAAAGAGCAGGATTGTGGAAAATTCGTGAGAACGATCTAGTGAAGGATGTGGATAGATCTTTCCAAATGGGCAAAGGAGATAAAGATACTTGTATACCAATGTAGATGCTCATTTTCAGCTGTGGAGGAGTTCAGTAATCAAGTAGACAGAGTGACTTGTTAGGTGGACAATCAGCCCTTTTACCAGCCATCTCTGCCATTACTTGAGTTGCCCATGAATACAGTGGCCGTGGTGGCAGAAGTGGAGAGAATGCATGGGCTTGACAACGTGGACTTCCACTCACTGATGCTGACCTGGCTATAGCTGCTGCCGAGTATCAGATCTTCCTACAGCAGAGACCAACACTGAGCCCCTGATATGGCATCATTCCCTAGGTGAGCAGCCAGCGACCTGGTGATAGAGTTATTACACTGGACCCTTTCCTTCATGGAATGGACATTGCTTTGTCCGTACTGGAGTAGATACGTATTCTTATTATGGATTTGTCATCCCTGCTTGTAATTTCCTACCAAAACTACCACCTATTGCCCTACAGAATTGCTTATCCATGGTCACAGTATTTCATACAGTATTGCTTCTGACCAAGGATCTTACTTCACAGCCAATGAAGTGCAACAGTGGGCCTAAGCTCATGGAACTCACTGGCTTTACCATGTTCTCCACGAACTTGAAGCAGATGACATGATAGAACCATAGAATGGCCTTTTGAAGACAGTTACAGTGTCAATTAGCTGTCAGTAGCCTAGAGGGTTGTGGTAAAATACTGTAGAAGTAGTATAATCTTTAAATGTTCATTCACTAGATGGTACAGTTTCTCCCATGGCTGGGATCCATAGGTCCAGGAATCAAGGGGCACGAAAGGGATTGGTTCTACTTGCTATCACCCCTAGTTACCCACCAGAAAAATGTTTGCTTTCTGTTCTCACGACCTGAAATTGTGCTGATCTAGAAGTTTGATTCCATAAGGGGGGATGTTCCTGCCAGGAGCCACAACAAACATTCCTTTGAAATGGAAGTTCAGGCTTCCCCATTACCTATTTGGGCTGCTTATGCTCTTAAGCCAACAAGCTAAAAAAAATAAAAAAGAGCATAGCAGTGTTAGGTAGAGTCATTTCATCCAGATCAGCAGGGATCAGATTGGAGGTAAGAAGATTGTGTTTGGAGTAGAGAAGGTCCCTTATGGCATCTCTTGTTGCTACCACGTCCTGTGATTATAAAGTCAGTGGGAAACTAAAACAACCCCATGGAGTCAGGATGACAAATGGTTCATAGCCTTCTGGAATGAAGGTATGGGTTACCTCGCCAAGAAATGTTCCAAGACATGCTGAGGTGCTTGCTGAGGGTACAAGAAATGCAAAATGGGTAGTAGAGGATAGTGGTTATAATGATCAGCTAAGGCCATGTGACCAGGGGCAGAATTGAGGATTAAAATTGACACCTGTTTCTGTGATATGAATGTGTTTGTGCATAGATATATACATATTAAGCAGATAACTGTTTTCTCCCTCTCTGTCTTTATCAATTGAGACATCAGTTGTTACCTTATTTAAATTATAAGATACTGAAGAATGTCCCTCAAAGGAATTTAACATCTAGTCTAAAATACATAATGTATTTGAAAATGTGTGTGTTATGTTAAGTATAATTATAAACAGGTTATTGTTTTCATTTGGGGAAATTAAAAATGACATAGGGATATGATTGTTGTCACATTGATGAAGTATGGACTTGTGGTTAATTTGGCTTATCAGGTTGACTACACCTGGAGTCAACTAAAACCCAAGTAGCTGGCCACATCTGTGAAGGATTTTTCTTGATTGTATTATGTGAAATGGGAAGACCCAACCTGTCTGTCTGATCATTTGATATCTGAAGACCTATCCTAAATCAGAGCCACACCCTTTGGTGGCAGCCTATCTCAAAGGACATGGAAGAAGGAATCTCTTTGCTTTTGTGTGCTTTCATTCACTCTTGCTGCTGAGACAATCCTTGCTGATATTAGAGCCTACTTCTTTTGGATTTCATCTTATCCTGAAGACCAGCTAAGACATCCCAGCCTCGTGGACTGAACAACTGTTGGGTACTTGGAGTTTCTGTCATGAGATAGTCTGTTTTTTAATACATTAAATTTCCTTTCACTGAAACTCCCACCAATGTTGAAGTTTTTGTTTTCAGCTACGAAACTATTTAATGGAACTCAGGAATATTTTATTATGTTCGCTCTAATATTTACCATTTCTGTTGTTTTACCTTCAGTTTTTATGCTTCCCTCTTTTTACTAGTCTTCCATTGTTTGAAGAGTTTCCTTCCCATTCCCTTTTAGTTACCTTTACTGGCTGTGGATTTATCCCTTCAAATGCAGATGTCTTTTTATTTGAACTTAGGCAGCCACGTTGGTGAGATTTGGGGGGGCATTGTTTCTGGCATTCCCAGGATACACAGTCTCACAGCGAACTCCATTCTTTCGAGTTTTGCAGTCATTCTGTCCCTCTTCTCACAGTGTTCCCTGAGCTGTAGGAGTTGTATCAGCTAAGAATGGGACCCACAACTGTGGTTTACTGAATTGGTCTCTGTTACGGAGAAATGTTTTATGAGGAGTAATGACTACACTGATCTGTGGGTATAAGGACAAATGTAGTTAGGAGTTATTCTGGTTTAGTAATGTGTTGGTTGTTTCTCCTCAAGATGCTTCTTTACTACCATTGTTAATTTAAGTAAACCAGTAGCTCTCTTGAACAGCTCTATTTAATTTATAACAACTGTGGCATGAGCCTGTTATTTTTTAAATTAAAGGATATTTTACATATTTTCTAAGTTTATGCTATGGTTTGACTGTTTAAATAAAATTTAGGATAGCTATCGGTATTTAAGAACATTTTATAATATTTTAAGGTATTTGCAAGATCTTAAAAATTATACTTAAGAAAAGTCAGTTTCAGATAATATCAGAGTTCTCAATACAATAAGAGATGCCATTCAAAATTTAATCTGCTTCAAAGGTGCTTCTTGTTCTGTGAATGTATAATGTTAAATCATTATTGCACTCATTGAACTGCTGTCCTGTTGTGCATATGCATAAATGCAAGAGTTGCTTTAGTTTGTAACTGCTATGTTATTTCTGTTTGTCTGCCTCCCATAGTTAATTCAATAGCCAGGTGGCAATTCTTTCTGAATGTGTCCTTTCCTGTTTGTATTGATCACATTTGGGTGATTTTTAATTCTTATTGTTACAGAGGATACCGCAGTCAGTATTTCTATGTGTTTTCTTTTGCACTTGTGTGTATGGATGTCTTTAATATAACAAAGATTTTCTAAATTACAATAAGGACATACTTAATATTTTAATAATTTGTTCTTCATATGCTGTAGATATACATGTATAATTGCAACATTTATGAGTCTCATTTTTAAAATTTATTTTATTTGTTTTGGTGCTTTGCCTGCATGTATGCTTGCTTGAGGGCGTCAGATCTTTGGGGTTACAGACAGTTGTTAGCTGCCATGTGGGTGCTGAGAATTGAACCTGGGCCTTTTAGAAGATCAATCAGTGCTCTTTAACCACTGAACCATCTCTCCAGCCCCAAATCTCATTTTTTAAAAATAAACTCCTTTTTTGAAAGCTACGTTACTTAACTTTTTGTCCTTTTACACATGCTAAATATCTTCGTTTTGCAGTAGTTACTTAAAATGCTTTCTCAAGTCATTAATTGGTAGTATTTTAATTAGGTAAATATTCCTTAATAGTAGGGTTACTTTTTGCATTTATGTATGCATTTTTCTTTATTTCTTAATTGATTATATGTTCACTTGTTCTGTAGCTTTGGTTGAAGAAGTGTATTTTGCACAGCGAGAACGTGATGAAGCTATTATGTGCAGACTGCAGTTAGCCCTTGAGGAGAGAGATGAAGCAATTGCACGTGTGAAACATATGGAAATGCCACTAAAAATGTGAGTATACTTTTAAAATTGTGTGTTATAATAAAGTATATGGATTTTCGTGCTGGCTAAGTAGTCACCTGTGTTACTGATTCTTGTTATTGCACAAAGATAATTCATACCCCTATGACAATTTTCTAAAATTTGGGCATGGTTGTAGCCTGCCTGACAAGGATGATAATCAGATTTTTCTAAAGAAAATGGAAATTCATGCTGTCAGTATAGTTACTTCTTTAGAGTTCTGTTGTCATTGTACTTACCCAACTTTCCCATGTGACTCTTCTCATCACTCCCCTTAGAATCAAGTTATTTGTTTGTTTTTAATATATTGGTGCTTTGACTTCGTGTCCACCGTGGTTAGGGATGGGAGCTCATGTCTGTGTCTCCTTCTCAGTGGCAGCCCCATCTGGCTTGAACCTGTGCTGGCCCTGTGCATGCTGCCACAGTCGCTGTGTGTCCATATGTGTGTCCCGCCTGTCATGTCTGGAAATCATTACTATTATTTTAAATGGTATTTATTCGATACAATGGAGTCTAAGAGGCTGCTTTTTTGATCACTCAGTTGATTCAATTTGGTAAATAAGACCATATTTAGAAATTCTAGAAGTACTATTCAATTTTTTTCTGTATAATCTACTTTCTTGTTATTTTAAGAATACTTACTAATTTATTTGTGTTGAGGTGGGAAGTGTAGTAGAATGTGTGGAGTATGTATAGTTTTGTTCATGCTGCCACACCTGTATGATGGTCAGAAGACAACGTTTAGGAATTGATTCTCCCCTTCCACTCCATAGGTCCTAGGGATCAAACATTTTCTTTACGGCTGTGATATTCTTTGGATCTTAATTGTCTCCTCCCAAAGACATCCGTGTTAAAGGACTGGTTTCCATCCTGTGGCAGTATTGGGAGGTGATGAAACCTTCCAGAGCTATGGATTATTGGAAGATTAGGTCACTAGGGAGTATGCCACCAAAGGGAATGTTGGGATCTCAATTCCTTCCTCTCTCTGTCTTTACTTCTTTGTTACTACAAGGTCAGCAGTCCTTTGTTGTCATGGACTGCCTCTCTGGAGTTCAAACTCAGTAGAGCTATATGACCTTGATCTGAAATCTCTGAAATGGTGGCTAAGATAAACCTTAGGCTCTAATAAATTGATTTTTCTCATGTATTTAGTCACACTGTCAGAAAGCTGAGTAACAGCCTGAATGATACTTTTTATTCATTTAGCTACTATTAAATACCTCAGGTATTGTATATCTTGGCTATTGTGAATAATTCCTTAATAAACAAAGTAATATAGTTATCTTTGATATACTGATTTCATTTTCTTTGTATATATACTGAAAAGTAGATAGCTTGTTCATATAGTAGTTCTATTATTTTAGATTCTTCACTATTTTCCTCTATAAGTGATATATTGATTTATGTTTCTACCAAGAGTATATGAGCCCACATTTTTATAAATTCTCACTTAACAATTTTTTGTTTTTTACTTTTGAGTAGGACAAGATTTCTCATTGAGGCTGTCATTTGTATTCTCTGTTTATTAGTAATGCTTATATGTTTTTTGTATACTCAATTCACCATCTTAACCGATAAGAAAACCAACCTTATTCCAAACATTGTCTTTTCGTTTTTGTGTTTAGATACGAAACTAGTTATCTACAAAGATACGTTCTTGTGGCATATTTATTTGTAAAATTAATTTCATAAAGTTCATGCTATTGCTACATACAGGTTTATTTGAGAAGAAATAGAAGTAAGAACAACAATTCTGGATCTGGTGTTGTGTCCTCAAAGCTTAGATTTGTTGCTTCCTAGCTAATTACCTATTGTTTGATCAAATCACGTAGGGTTTCTGGGACTCAGTCACTGATCCATCAAATATATAAAATAGGGCCTACATAATGTAAATTGTTATTTGGTTCAGAATTACAATTCACAGTGGCAGCAGACAAATATTCTCATTCCAAAAGAAAGGATCAAGAGAATGACAAGAGTAGACTGGAGTAAAACAAGACTTATACCCAGCTGCACAGATGTTAAATTCTGAAGCTCTGTGTTTGGCACTTGGGGCATGTGCTCTCATGATATGAATTCCAACGGGCATGACTTGATCCATCTTTATGGTTGTTTTAGCTACTTAACTCATTGCTGTGAAGGAAATGCTTGACAAAACCACTTAAAGATGGAGCGCTTTATTTGACACACAGTGTGATAGGATACAGTCTATAGTGCTGGCAGAAGTGTGGTGGTAAGAGCTTAAGACAGTCAACCAGTAGAGAAAGATAAATGCTGATGTTCACCTCACTTTCTCTTCTTATTCAGCAAGAAACTTCATAGTCATGAACAGGGCACATTTAGGCTGGTTCATATGACCTCAGTTAAGCCTGTCTAGAAAAGCCCTTATAACATTCATAGAGGCTCGTCTTTCAGGCGATGCTAGATTCTGTTATGTCCACACACAATATTAATCATCACAGTAGTCCTTCAGTTAGCAACACATGTGGCCTCTTTGTTGGGCTGTCTGCATTCAGTGCTACAACTTTCTTTTGTAGATCTCCAATGTTTCTGTAATCTCTAACATTTTGGGTTCTCTGTTATAAGTGACTTTGTTTTGTTATCTGGTTTTTTGAGACAGAGTTTCTCTGTATTGTTTTGGAGGCTGTCCTGAAACTCGCTCTATAGACCAGGCTGGCCTCAAACTCACAGAGATCCGCCTGCCCCTGCATCCCGAGTGATGGGATTAAAGGTGTGAGCCACTGACGCCCGGCCTATAAGTGGCTTTGTAAACATAGGTTTTCATATGAGCTCCATAGAGGCTTATTACAAGGAGTGCAGTGGAGTCCCACATGTCTTAGCTTCCCAAGCTATCTCAGAAATCTTGATCCACACTTTAGGGTTTGTAATTTTTCCTAGGAGATATGACCAAAGAAACAATTCCACCTGTCTTGCTTAGTGAACCAGTCAGTTTCATTGAGTTGATTATGAGCATAAAAGAACATGGGTGACTCAAAGGCAGCTACATAACTAAAAAGCCCCCCTCAGCATGGGTAATGCCTTCCAGAAGCTACACCCCTAGAGCTGTCTGTACAACTTGCTTGTAGTTCAGCTTGTCTGAGAATCTCCTCTCCCTAACAGTCATTAATGCTTATAAAGCCTTCAGGAGTGGATCTATAAATTCTGTAAGTCTCATTGACTTCACAAGTTTTTTGTGCCTCCCTCCAGGAAGGATTATTTCAGTTCCGAGGAAAGACTTGCACAATACTCAAGGACCCCATAACTCATACATTCTGAATGTTTGCAAAACCGGCATCATGTGGAAGACACCAAGTTCTGTTGCCAGCCTACTTAGACCTGTGACTGATTGGGCAGTGAACTTGAGACACAAGTTACCTAGACCTAGGCATGGTGGTATATGTCTTTAATCCTATAATTCCAGTGGCAAAGGCTGGTGGATCTTGGTAAATTTGAGACAGCCTGGTCTATATAGTGAGTCTAGGCAAGCCAAGATCTGCTTAATGAGACCCAGGTTTTCTAAGAAACTCAGTTCGAGCAGAGTACCTCTGAGTCTTCTTTTTTGGATACCATCTTTGCATAAAGTACCTTTCTTACTACTCTAGTGGAAAGCACTCAGCATTACTAACAATGCTAATCTATTTAATAACATTGCCTACTTAGTCTGATCTACTTTGTACCTTTAAATGCCCCCATCCCCAGCCTTGTCCCATGGGAGCTCATTTTCTGGCCAAATTGTGTTTTTCAACTCCTTTCTCATGAGTTTTACAATAAACCCACAAAAAGTAGACAGCAATAACTATGCAGTGGGCTGACTTTTATGCCATCTTGATATTTTCTTCATCAAATAATTAGTCCTATATTTTTAATTCTTTTTACTCTGATTTTCAGGACCTGCTCAGACATAATTCTTTGCCCAGTGGTAACAAAAATGGCATATTGGTTCAGTTGCCAGTTGAGTCCTGTTCTAGCTGAAAGCTCACAAGCTAAGATTCTACTGCATGCATTTCTCTCAGAGATGTCTTTATATTCCTACCGGAAATACTCATTAAATAATACTTACATAATTCTTGGGTTGCTATAGTTTATATCTTTAAACTCTTGTATATTCCTCCCACAAAGTAGTTCCAAAAGCCTAACAACCTCATGGTAAGTTCATCACCGTGACAAACCTACTCCTCTGCACCAGATCTCCACTGATCTTTATGTTTCTTTGACCACAATACCTAATAGAGTCATTTTAAGAAAAAAAGAGTTTGGGGAAAACCCACAGAAACGGCTGACCTGAGCAAGTGGGAACCTATATAGGATCAAACCAAGCCCCCTGAACATGGTTGTCAGCTAGGAGCACTGGGCAGTCTCTGGGACCTCTGGCAGTGGCACCAAGATGTATCCCTAGTGCACAAATGGACTTTGGGAGCCCATTTCCCATGGAGGGATACTCTCTTAGCCTAGATACACAGGGGAGGGCCTAGACCCTGCCCCAAATGACTTGACAGATTTTGATGATCCCTCATGGAAGGCCTCACCCTTCCTGGGGAGTGGATGGAGGATGAGATGGGGGGTTGGTGGGGGGTATGGGAGGATGAGAGGGAGAAGGAACTGGGATTGATAAGTAAAATAAGATTGTTTCTAATATAAATAAAATTCATTTAAAAAAGAAGGGAAGAGTTTGTGTTGACCCACAGTTCAGTAGATTTCAGTACTTTGATGATAAAGAAAAGGCATGCTGGAGTGGTTTATTCCATGGAAGTAAGAGCATTTGGCAGTGCCAGTCCCTTTGCTGTAGATCAGGCCTCAGAAAGTATTAGGAACAGGGGCTTAGTGTATAGCCTTTCATGTTCTGTCCCAAATGCTCTACTTGAGCCTGTAACCCACCTCCACACACACACATCGCTCCATAGCCACTGCAAACCATCTGGCAAACAAGCACTCAAAACATGATCCTATGGGAAAGATTTCTATGTCAAACCATGAAAATACATGGTCCATTTTTATTTGTTGTTCTTCTGTGTATTGACACTCACTCCATTGCCATAGAATGCAAAGCCTATAATTGCACCAGGGTTTTCTTTGTGCTTCTATCAAACATAAGTTTGTCATATGCATGTAGATTAAATTTTGTTGTCCCATCTATATATGTCTACCTCTTTGGCAGTGTTATATACTCTTAATTTCTGACTCTTTTATGCCTTAAAATCATGTATTAATCCTCCAACTTTTCTTTTATTACAGAATCATGTAGTTATTCTAGTACCTTTACCTCCCTAAATATGTTTTAAAATCAGTTATATCTACAGAATGTTTTACTGGACCCAAATGTTTTTTGTTTGTTTGTTTTATATTTTTGGATTACAAACTTGTTATTATCTTATGTCATTGCTTTGTTTCTTACTCTTGGACTAACTTTTAGAAAAGAAAAAAGATAATGTTGATGGACCAAGGGATAACTCCAGAAATGTGACATTTCATGCATGGGTTTTTCACTTAGATTGCAAAGTTGTTAGTTAGAATTTGCATTGTATAGGAAATCAATTGAAACTTGAGCCCATGAACATTTACTTCAGCAAAATTCTTAACTAATTATCATAACTATGTTAAGTTACACTGCAGTAGGCATTATTATGAGTTTATAAATGGCTAAGATTTTTTTGTCTTCTTGCAAGCCCTATATTAGTGAGAGATAGTCTATTGTTTACGGGCTATATTTATATAATATCACCCATTACTTTAAACCTTTAATTAAATCAGAAATTTCTGTTATTTTATATATGCTTCTAATAACTTTTACCAGCCTAAGATCATTTTTATGTAAAATCGAAGGCCTTATATATTTTATGTAGTTGCTTTATATTATTTCTTTTGAAAAGATAGAATGTCTAATTTTGGTGTGACAGTAAATGACACAGTTCATGGTTTACTTGTTGAAGTGAAGGCCTCAGTATGATTTTCTGAAAATAATGTTGTTCATTTCTTACTTCATATTTAGCAAGATAATAGATGACCCAATTCAGAAAATTATGTTAAATATACTGACTTCCATCTTCTAATGTACTAATATTAAAAACTGGTCTCAGTTTTTAATACTCTGTTTCAGGGAGAGACAATGATTATGTTATACATGCAATCTGTCACCTATTTCTGTAAATAAAGTTTTATTAAAACCCAGCTACATCCCTTCTCTTGCCCATTTGTTTTAATGCTATAAATGTTTTAGCATTACAAAGGCAAGATTGAGGAGGTAAAAAAAAGACTAAGATAATCCAAATATATTTAGTGCGTGCCTCCTAACAGAAAATATTTACTGATTCCTCTTGGGGAATATTATTTTTAGGTGTATGACTTTTGTTGATGCTGCATTTGTTTATCTCTGTGGAACTGTGTTAATGTCCCTGTCTAGAACATCTGGTGGTCTTAGTAAAGAGTTGAGTGGCCAATAGTGAGGCAGGAGCAAGGCTAGTCGGGGCTGGCAGGCAGAGAAAAGAAATAGAAGTAGAAACAAGGAAGGAGGAGCAGCAAGAGAACAAGGAGAGGAGGTAGTCAGGGGCCAACCATCCAGCCACACAGCAATACACAGTTAAGAGTAGGGTTTACAGAAGTAAGAGAACAGGAAAAGCCCAGGGGCAAAAGCTAGATGGGATAGTTAAAGATAAGAAAAGCTGGCTAGCAACAAGCCAAGCTAAGGCCAGGCATTCATAACTAAGACTAAGCCTTCGTGCATAGTTATTTGGGAGCTAGGTGGTTGGTCCCTTGAAAAGGCTAAAAAGCTAAAAGAGTAAAACGTAACACTACAGATTTCTGTTCTATTTAGTTTGAGATAATAATATGGCATTAACATTTGATGTCTGTGATAAAGCCCTACCCAAGACTTTATAAGCAAAAGAGAAATAGCAGCAGTCTTTTCTCTTTTTTATAAGTTTATATTATGCATGACATATACAAAATTTTAAATCTCAAGCTGTTCTGAGATTAATTATGAGTAATAATAAGTAGTAATAATAAAAAATAATAATAAACAAAAATGAGAACAAAAAGCAAAGTGATTACTTAGCATATTAGAGCTAACACATAAGGCTCTCTAAAACATTTCAAGTTTAATTACTAGCAAATTAAAAATCACTGCATATTATTTTGGGATTGATCACATAAATTCTTTAAAGTCTGAGCGATAAGCTTACATGCCTGATAATTATTTAGTCTTTGATAAGAAATCAGTGTTAACTTAAAAATTGTTTGTTGCTAGTTGCGCATTTTAATACTAGACTAAATTCATTTATTTCAGCTGTTTCTAAAATGTGAAGAGTTGCCCATTCATAACATTTGAACTCTTTATCTTCCTTTTCTTAAAGTAACAATTTTTCATTTTGACATAGCTCAAAATAACTTATAAGCATTACATAGAAATCCACATGCATTGTATTCTGTTGATTTTCTCAGATATATGAATTAGGTAACATTCATATGTTATTATTTTTATTTGATGGGAACTAAAACTGCAAGCTTAATACTGTAACTATCAAAATCTTTTAAAGATTACTATGTCTACCAAACTAAATGTTTGATTATCATCTATCCTTTCACATTTTAATTTTATGGAAATTTTAAATACACTGATTTTTATCCCTGGAAACTAATAGTGATCGGCTTTTAGTTTGGTTTCACCTGCAAAATTTTAATACTAAGATGTTTTACAGCATGTGATCCCTTTAAAAATTTTATTTAGCTAACCAGTAAGTGAAGACAAATTCTACCAACATTCAAGTACTTTCATTGTGACAATAGTGCAAGAATTCTATGCTTTCGAAATGAGTACAGAACTAGTGTCTACTTCCAAATTTTTGTTGAACATGCTTTTATTAAGTAGTGTGTCTGAAGATGCAATTTATTTTGGAGAAACTATAAAAGACAAGAATATTTGCCGTTCTGGAGATTTGAATGGAAGCAGCTACAAGTCACTGGAAAGCTGCTGTATTATATAATTAGGGTGACTAGACCTTACTGTTGAGTCATAGTATGCAGCATTTTCTGCTTATGTGTTTTTCTGTTAAATCACTATGTTTAAAAACAACTACTTTTTCCACGATTGTAGTGAGATTTACCCAAATTGTGACATTTGGAGCAATTATGTAGCATATTTATCAATTGTATATTTTTTTAGTATGATGGTTTTTGTGGTAAATCTTAAATCCCCAAAGTGCAGATATGCAGAGAACCTCATGAGACAGGAAATTTATCTGGAAACTTTTTAGTACAATTTAAAAATAATTCTAATTATTTTTAAATCTCTGTCATGTACTACTATCCATCACAGTTTGTCCTCTAATTTACTTAATTTAATCATTGCCTACATTCTGTTTTCTAAAATATATTACTTAGAATGTCTTTTCTATTAGCACATATATTCAGTTCATCCATATTAACAAGCATTTCAGTAAACGTGATAATTATTATTAACAAGCATTATCAAAAGCATTTATGAAGAGATAAATTATTTCTCTTTCACTTGGATGATTCCATAAATATGAAAAAGGAAAAAAACATTCATCTAAAGTATAGTTCAATTTTAGTCAGTTTGTGTATTCAGTGTGTATAACTGGTTCAGCAGTAGATTTTCAGATTTAATTTAGTGTAATTATTTGTTGTTGTTTTTGAGGGACTGTAGTTAAACTTCGTAATAAAAATGTTTGCTTTGTTTTTACTTGTGATAGTGTCCAAAAAAAAAGGAAATAGTTTCTGATCAGAATTGAAAGAATAGGAATAAATATCATGATGAAAAAGAATGCTTCTATCACTGGGGAACTTTCTTCATCTAAACACATATGAACAATTGATCCTTGTAGTCATATATAGCAGTAAACATTAATAACTTAACAGTCTGAAGTCAGAGCAGAAGATAGAGAGCATTATTGGAAGACGGAGTCGAGCAGGTGCCACTTTAATATGTTCAGTGTCATGGTTGACTCTAAAGACTAGTCGAATGAAATTACTTGAGGTTCTAAAGATTTAAAAAGCGAACTCATTTTGCTGCACTAAGGAAATGCTACTGATCAGGCTTTCTGTGTCCCTTTTTTCTAGGCTAGAAAATATTAACCCTGAAGAAAATGACATGGTAAGCCATTCTCTGAGGAGATTTCTTGATGTCAGTCTTATATCTTAGAGGCTTAAGTTCAATTGAGTGGGTTTCAAGAACTAAGATGTGGGAAAAAGAAGAATTGACACACTAATAATGTACATCTTTGCTGCAATATGAAAATTCAATAACTTCACTCAGTCAATTTACAATTCACATGTGCCTATTAATTAAAACCCTATATTAAATAAAATATATTAAAACCTCATGTCTGACTAACATATAATGGTGTTGGTAGACATTACAGGAATTACTGAGCAGAATAAACAATGCAGACACCGGGATAGCTATTGAGAAGAATGGAGCTGTAATTGTGGATAGAATCTACAAGGCCAAGGAATGTAAAAAGAGAATAACTGCAGAAGAAATGAATGCAGTGCTAGAAGAGCGGGATGCGGCGTTGGCTCAGGTAACTGCTCATGCCCAGAAAAGCATACAGGTGCCATCCCTCCCTCTGTTTTAAAACCCCAAGCCGGGGGAAGTCTGCTCAGGTCTCCTTCAGCTTCCTTTTAGAATCTTTTGTTACCATATAAAGAAATGTGTTTCTTTGTGAAGTGTTACACACGCACGCGCGCGCGCGCACACACACACACACACACACACACACACACACACACACACCTTTGTCCTTCTTATCTAATATCGGATTCACCATAGTTTGCAGTATATAATCAATACTATGTTGTTTCAATATATTAAAATACTTGAGTTTCTGCACCACCTCTAGGAATATGTAACCAATAATAGTGAATAATTTTTAGTAAAACAATATTTTATATTATGTTAAATTACTATAAAATATATTTGCACTCATTAGTCACTTTTATTACAATAATTGCATTTCTTGTATTGCAGTTTTGTAAGTGCTAAGACTGTTTTTGTTTTTTGTTTTGTTTTTTAGTTTTATTCCTAGAGACTGTGTTCATACATTTTGGATAAAAAATTAGCATATTATTTTATGAACATGCTTATATCTTCCTGCCCATGACAACCCTCGTAAGGGGTTGCAAGCTTTCCACAGCAGTTACACCAGTGGTCCTGCATCCATAGTGTATATTGGTCTTTACCCTTCTGTCCTTCCCAAACACAGCTTTGAAATCAGGCACAAGATGACACTGTTCAGTGTTTACTGTCGCTGCAGTTGACACTTATGTGATGTTACATCCCTTGCTTTGTGATCTTTTCTTTCTTGTACTCCTGCCAATAAACCAGCCTCTTATTTCCTCTGCCTGCTGTGTGCCATGTACTCTTTTTGCCATTTACCTTGGGGTCATATCCTATTCTTGATTGTTACTATTCTCTAATTCAAATCCCCATTTGTGACTTCCAACTTTCTTAGCTCATTTACTCTGGAACTTTGATTCCAGCAAGTTCTCAAATTCACTAGTACCTGTTTCAATGAATCTTGCCAACCTTTTTATTAAATCTTAAGTTCTTCATGTCTGCTTCCCACCTTATATATCTTAGCTTCCTTGGCTCACCATAATTATCACCACCTTTCATATAACTTCAGTTCTCTTCTCGCTTATCAACTAATTTTGTTTATTTAACACTTTTATACATATGTGTAATATATTCTGATTACTGTCATCCTCATCTATTCTTATTCGCCTCCAATCCCTTTTTGCACCACCCACTACCAGTTACTTTCCTAGATTCATGGTGTGTGTGTGTGTGTGTGTGTGTGTGTGAGAGAGAGAGAGAGAGAGAGAGAGAGAGAGAGAGAGAGAGAGAGAGAGAGAGAGGTGTGAGAGAGAGACAGGGACAGAGACACAGAGAGAGACAGAGACAGCAAGAGAGAGATTTAGTTTAACTAAGGTTGTATGTATTACAAATGGATTAAATACCCATTGGAGTATGGTGATAGGGTCACAATATTCTTTCTCTTAGTCTGTCAATAGTCAGTATTCATCAGGGAGGGGTAAGGCTCCCTGAATTCCCTTTCCCCGTTTGTGATTGTTGAAGAACCCATTCTTGTTCACACCAGTGCAGTCATCCACATCTGCTGTGAGTTTCTGATTGGAATAGCCATGCCTTACCAAGAAGCTTTTTCACAGCCCTTCTTCTTGGTTTCTGACTCTTAAGTTCTTTCTACTTCCTGTTCCACGGAGTACCTGAACCTCATTAAGATGGCATGAATAGCTTGTTTAGGACTGAGAACTCAACTACTGCTTACTTCTCAGCACCTTGTGCTTTGCAGCAATATATCTAGGGAAATAGCTGAGTGTTAGCATGTTTCCTTTTCTCTTCTTTTGTCTTACCAGCAACAAAGTCTACTTAATTTTCCTGCACTTTCACAGCTTTGCATGACAAGGGGAATTCATACAAACTTGCAAACTGAACTGAATTTTATGACTACTATTAACAGGCTCTTATTATAGCTCTACAGTCTTACTTTTTAGTCATTCTTCACAGAGGACAGTTTAATTCTTTCTCATTCGGTACACTTCTCAACTTCATTCAAAAAGAGAACTTTGCACGTCCTTAGTCGTTTCATCATCTTTCAGCCTCATTGTATTTCGCCCAGCCTGTCCCCTTTCCCTTTATATCTTCTTTTACTGTGTGCCTCCATTTAAAGACCAACTCTCTACTTCACTTGTAGTTCATATAACTTTGTCTCGTTTTCTAATACATAAAATGCTTATTTTTAAAAAAATTGATTTTTATTTAAATTAAAAACAATCTTATTTTACATACGAATCCTAGTTCCCTCTCCTTCCCATTCTCCCAGTGACATAGATTCTTCAGCCTCCACTGAAAGTAAAGGTGTGTGCCAGTACAAATGGCCCCAGTTTATATTTTAATAATCTATGTGTGAATCTGATGTGCAAGTCCAAAATTTGTCATTAAACTTGTAAATTAGACACCTGTTTTGAGTTTTTTGTTCACTATCAGGTGCATTCCATTTTAAATCATTCTACTGCTGAAGAAATAGCTAAAGCTAGTTTTGCTTGCTTGGAAAAATATAGTATCAGCTCAAATATTACACATTTCATCATCTATTTTCTCAAGTTTGTGAAAAAAAATGAATAGTACATGTTAAATATTGACTGTTTCCCCTTTCTTCTTTAAAAGCTACAAAATACAGCATTTTATTTGATTGATATCTATAATACACTCTAAATGAAGATTAATAACTTGAAAATAATTTCTACTTTCAATTATAGAACTTTGATTTTTATTAAGAATATCCAAGAAATTATCTGTTCCTCACAGTTCTTTCCCACCTTCTCTTCCATCTGGATTCGTTACCTCTATCTCATAAGAAAACAAATAGGTATCTAAGGGGTAATAATAAAAATAGTATGATGATGGGGGAAGTTCTTCTGTGTATGTTTGTCTGATTGGTTGATAAAGCACTGTTGGCCAATAGGGAAGCAAGATAGGTGGGACTAGGAATCGAGGAGGATTCTGGGAAATATAGTCAAGAGTGGAAAGTCACCATGTGATCCTGGGAGGAGAGTACACGTCAGGATGGCGTCCTCGGAAAGATAAGTCCTTATAAAAATATATATTAGTAATTATGGGTTAATAATTAAGTCAAAGCTAGTCATTAAGTAACCATAGCCAAAGGCCAATGGCTTTATAATTAATATAGTGTCTCTTGTGTTATTTAGGGACTGAGACAGCAGTTGGATCCAGGCAGCTGGTGGGAAAGAGTACACATTACAATATCATATAATATAGTATGATAAAATGAAAAGAAACACTTAGGAATAGGACAAAACAAAGAGAAGAAAAAGAGTCCAAGAAAAGGCACAAAAATAGATATAGATGCTGAGATGCACTCCTTTATGCATACTCAGGAATCGCATAAAAACACAAAACCGGAATCTTTAATGTATAAGCAATTGACCTGTGGGTAAAAGAAATAAAAATAAATTTTTTAAAGATAAAATTAAGAAGAAGAAAAAAGAAAGAGCCCTAATATGATGTCATTAAACAAGGAACCCACTAAGATGTTGTTCAGCTCTTTTCTGCGGCCTACCATTGAAAGTAGCTTGTTTCCCCTATGAGACTCCTTTGGATGAAATTAAATTTTCATTTGCAAGTGGTTGATGGTTGGAGATAGCTCCTGGGTTAGGAATGGGGCATGTGTCCACTTTTTTCAGTTGTAGGGCAGCATCTGGTATGGACCCAAGCAGGCCTTGTGCATGCTGCCTCATTCTCTGTGAGTACATATGTGTGTCAGTCCTATTGTATTTAGAAGGCTTTTTTCCTGTGGTATCCCCCATCCTCTATGGCCTCTTACACTGCTTTCAAAGAGTTCCCTGAAGCCTGAAGGCACAGATTTGATGGAGATATCCTTTTAAGAACTTGTGTTCCAAGATCTTTTACTCTCTGCATATTGTCTAGCTGTGGGTCTTTGTTTTCCTTCCTATCTCCTACAGGACGAAGCTTCTTGATGATGGCTGAGCAAGGCAATGATCTATGTATGAGTATAGTAGTCATTAGGAGTCATCTTATTTCTATGGTCTTTAGTAGAAAGTAAATTTTGTTTTTTCCCAAGGTCCCTGAGCTGTCTAGTCTCAGAATTTTGGTTACCTGTGTGATGTTGGGTTTGCGTTCAGTCTCATGGAATGGGCCTTAAGTCAAAAAGGATATTGGTTGGTTAAAGAGTTTGTTGTTGGACTGGGGTTTCCCCTTGGTATTGTTCAGAGTGCCTTCTGGTATGCAAAACACTAACCCATGTGGGTGAATACTCTGGGTAGGCACCAAGTTGACTTCTCCACGTTCCATGAATTGTGTAGGCATTGTCTTCATCAATGGGGCCTTATTTTCTATTTGTGGAGAGAAACCAGTCTTGGCAATTGTCTGGGTTTTGGGGGGATTCCCATAGGACCTCTTTGGCCAACAAATCAATTAGATGTAACACATTCCCAATATTGGAAGCATCATTTTGTATCAAGAGATTTCCAGTTGGGGCTGTCTCCTCCATTATTTGACAATTTCATTTAGGACAGCTTCATATATGTTTATATTTTAGGAAGTTTCTACTATAGTAGGTTTCCATACTACCTCTCAAATGGCCCTTAATTTTAGGTGTCTCTACCTTTGTTTCTTCCCACATTCTCTTCCCTCACGTCCCCACTTGAACTTTCATTCCAGTCCCCTTCATCTAGTCCATTCATAATTATTCTTTTTTAATTTTTTTATTTAAATTAGAAACATGAATGCTTCACATGTCAATCCCAGCTCCCTCTCCCACCCTTCCTCCCTTGTCCCTCTACCAGCCCCCCACCCAATCCCCACACCATTCCCCAGGGAGGGTGAGGCCCTCCTTAAGGGGATCTCCAAAGTCTGAGAGAACATCCCTCTATTTGGAATTGGCTCCTAAAGATCATTCATAAACCATGATAAACACTGATCTACTACCCAAGGCCCCAGAGATTTCTGTGGCCTCTCACT